AGCTATCAGGCTCCGCTCCTGTGGAATCATCTTCCTGTTACGGTCTGGGAGGCAGACACTGTCTCCACATTTAAGACAAGACTTAAGACTTTCCTCTTTGATAAAGCTTATAGTTACGGCCGGCTCAGGCTTGCCCTGTACCAGCCCCTAGTTAGGCTGACTTAGGCCTAGTCTGCCGGAGGACCCCCCTATAATACACCGGGCACCTTCTCTCCTTCTCTCTCCCTCTCTCTCTCTCTCTCGTATTCTATTACTGCATCTTGCTAACTCTTCCATTCTGGATGTCACTAACTCGGCTTCTTCTCCGGAGCCTTTGTGCTCCACTGTCTCTCAGATTAACTCATATCGCAGCGGTGCCTGGACAGCGTGACGTGTGTGGTTGTGCTGCTGCCATGGTCCTGCCAGATGCCTCCTGTTGCTGCTGCTGCCATCATTAGTCATACTTCTACTGTCATTATACACATATGATTATTGTCACACATGTATACTGTCAGATATTAATATATACTTTCAACATATTGTACCACAGTAGCCAGAACTATAACTATAATATTCTTACTTTCATTAATGTTGTTGTAAGCTACTGTCATTACCGTCTGCCCTGCATCTCTCTCTCTCTCTCTCTCTCTGTCTCATTGTCTCATATGGATTACTGTTAATTTATTATGTTGATCTGTTCTGTATGACATCTATTACACATCTGTCCGTCCTGGAAGAGGGATCCCTCCTCGGTTGCTCTTCCTGAGGTTTCTACCGTTTTTTTCCCCTGTTAAAGGGTTTTTTTGGGGGAGTTTTTCCTTATCTGCTGTGAGGGTCCTAAGGACAGAGGGATGTCGTATGCTGTAAAGCCCTGTGAGGCAAATTGTGATTTGTGATATTGGGCTTTATAAATAAAATTGATTGATTGATTGATTGATTGATAGGTGAAGATAAAAAAAAAATCAGTGTGTTGACACTCATATAACTCAATGACAGAAGCACTTTGAAGTTTTTTTTCCCACAGTCAGCATCACAGTTTCCTTTCAAATGAGACCATGCATGTACATGTACTAAGAATGGAAAAAGAACATCTCTCAGTTTACTTTGGGTATACCTTGGATAGGTGTTTTAGGTGAATTTCACAGGACCGCAATATAAACAACCACAAAGGTTGTTTGTATAAGCAGAAATTACAATCCCCATTAAGATATTTGTTAGGCACAAGGATATTTTATTATTATTGCCACCTGACATAGTTGGTGGTAATTGTTTTGGTACAGCATAGTAGCTCAGTTCCAATGCAAAGAGAGAGAGAGAGAAGAGAAAAATAAACAAGCAACAGACACTATAAACCATTACAACAGTGCACCATGGATGTATTAAGCGACCTGGATACAGCATTGGGGCTCCATGAAGTCCAAATCGCTTCATTTGCCAGATGACTGGTGCTGCTTCTGCATTATTGGGCTCAAAGAGCAGCCACACCAGAGACTTACAGCTGCCAAGCATGGCCGAACCCAGCCAAGCACGGCCAAGTGTAGCTGAGCGTCCACCTTCGGCTTTAGCGCAAGCTTGAATGGCGTTAAAATAATTTAATCTTGCGGCTCTTTTAGACTTTCCAAATGTTATCGGACCAAATGGATTAAATCCTGATAGTGGCATGAGTAATTTTGCTGGGATTTTGATGCTCTAAACAAATTATCCACATGCATTTTCCAATGTAAGTGTATGGGAAAAGTCTTTTTGGGCCCAATGGCATCACATGAAGGACCCTGGAAATTGCAGTACCCTGGAAACTACCGTTTGACCACTAAGAAAATCTCCACAGCCCAGTGCACTTCCTGGGGGCCTGCAGCACACACAAAAAAAGTAATCACATAGTTCTTAAAAAAATGATGTGGGAAAAAAATATGTACAGTTCAGTCCCCCAGCATGTCAAGTAGCCCAACAGGCAAAAAATTACAATGGTTGATGAACTAGTGCAGGTAGTTTAGTCTGTGTTCAGTCCAGGGCCTGTAGGGCAACTTGTGGAGAGGTTAGCAAGGGGAGTTAAGCATTCTGACTACTGTAGGAAAGAAGCTGTTTTTGAATCTAGTGGTGTTGGGTAAAATCAACCTATAGTGCCTGGGAGACAATCTGCTCTAGTTTTCTTGTAGTGAGACTGTCTGAGCTCCCATACGAGACAGTGAGAGATGATGTCAGGATGTTTTCTAAGATGGCTTTGTAGAAGTAGACCTGGGCCTTTGTGATGATGTGGTTGGTATGGATGTTCCATTTAGGAGTGTTACTGATATAGGTACCAAGGAACTTAAAGGAGTCTGTCAGTTATGTGTTGGTCAGAAATATGAACATGGGCTTTGATTAGGGTTGGGACTTGTTAGGAGTTTAACGATTCCGATTCCTTACAGATTCCTTCTTAACAGTCCGATTCCTTACCGATTCCTCTTAACGATTCCTACATTATATTCATTATACTTGCTATACATAAACAAGTATATAATAAACACAAATGCAATCATACAAATACAAAAACTTTATTCTAACTGTTGCACAGTACAATTAGATGAAAATACATATTTGTGTGTGGTGTGTATTTCAGATTTAGAGCTTGTATCATCTCCCTGAGAATATATAACAACAAAAAGTGATTCTCTGATTTCTACAGTAACACTATTACCTCAAATTAACCACAGCAATGTAATAAAAAATACTTTTATGAATTCATGTTTGGGCACTGTTATTTACGTGACAACACCTCAACAGAACACACACACATTGGCTGTTTGTTTCTACCGCTCCGCTCGCTCACCGCCCGCCTCCGCCTTGATTAAACGCTGAAAATAAAATAAAAGAGGGAGACAAGTTTTCCTATTTTATCTTATTTTATTATATTCCTCCATCCTACCCTCGCTGGAAGCCTCAGACCTCCCGCCGCCCGCTCCTGTCTCAAACATGGAGGTCTTCCTCTCCACGGAGCACCCACGGCGCACGCCCAGCCTGTTAAATAGCCTGTAACCATAACAACTGTGTGACACAAACTCAGTGCTTTAGTAGGCTAATTAAATAATGTCAGGCTCGGTCAGGTTTGGACAGAAATATGCGGCCCGTGCCACACTCTAGTGGAAATGCACGTGACATCTTCAGCTCTTCTCCTTGCGCTCAAGCTGCGTCTGTGCGCTCATGGAATTTCTGCTCCCAGATTTCTGCCCTGCTCTTGGATTTTTTTGTGAAACAACCCTGTCAAAATCCCCCAACCAATAGAACGCCAGGTTTATTGCTGACCAATGAAATGATCCCTGCCTCCTTGTGGGCCCAGACGGGACACTCTAAAACTAAAGCGAGTGCGCCCGCAAGAAGGCAGGGATCACTTCATTGGTTCTACTGGTTGGGGGATTAAATCCAAGGGCAGGGCAGAAATCTAATCTTTCAAAAATACCACTGAATACAGTGGTAATAAGTTTCAGAAAGGTGTAGTAGTAGCACTGGTAGCAACAGTAGTAGTATCAAAGACAGCTCTGGTATTCTTTTAGGTAACAGCCATAGACAGGAATCGAACAGGTGACCATTCAAACATCACTCCCTCAGACTGCCATTAGACATTTTAGAATAGATAGATAGATAGATAGATAGATAGATAGATAGATAGATAGAAAGAAGTTTATTCATCCCTGAAGGAAAATTCAACTCATTTGTGGTTCATAAAAAACAACATAGACACTTCCCCACATCAGCAATAAAACAGTGGTGTTAAAATAGACATAGAATAAAATAAGTTAAAATAAGTGCATAAATAGAAACTAAAAATCATTCATTCATTCATTCATCTTCTAAACAATCTCATTGCTGTGGGGATGAAGGATCTCCTGAAATGCTCTGTTCTGCAAGTTAGATGAGCCGACTGTTTTATTTGGGTTTTTTTTGGGGGGGGGGGGGTTTATTGGTGGAGCTTCCCAGACTAAGAATTTCACATGTATGTACCCAGTGCTACTAAGTGACTAATAAAGCTGAACTGAACTGAACTGAACCGACTGCTACAGCTGTTCCTCTGTAACTTCAGGAGGCTGCAGAGAGGGTGTCTGCTATTGTCTATTATAGCTTGTTCAATGTGCTCTCCACCACAGTTCTTAGAGGGTTTTTAATACTTAAAAAATGATATAAAATTACTGTAACATGTTAGAAGAAAGAAAAAGTAATAGCATACATCTCCTGAAGAAGATGTACTATTTGACATTGAAATAAAGTTTCTGGTTGTATGTTTATTTTCTTGCATGCGATTTTCATATGCAAAGACAGTTCATAAAGTTCCTTCTCAATCATGACAAATCTATTACAGTATGTGCTTCTGTCATCTTATTATACACATACAGTATGTACTGCACAAATACACACGAGCCAACATTATCCATATCAGACAAATAACTAAAAACACAATAGATTGTATGCACCACACACATAAACACTGTAACCGCTTTGTCATGATGATGGTAAATAGTGTGTGCATGTGTAATGATTTTTTGATATATTCTCAGTGCAATAATGACTGCATGTAGGCCTGCTCGCCCTCTCCTTTAAATCCGTCTTTTGTAAACACGGTGTGATAGGAGTTGAGTTACAAGATGGCGAATCTACCCAAACTCAGTTTGCTTGTTTATTTGCAGAATGGATATTGTTGTTATCACTCTTGGCTGTCAGTCTTAATTATACATTAATATACTCATCATATCGTGTATCAAACTGATGCAGAGGAGAAAAGAATAGTGTCTGGCTCATGATGATACTTGAGGTCACACTCCTGCAGTGCCGTTATTCACCACATCACACAGTATTCATGTTGCTGGTCCAATATGCAGTCCAATACTGCAGCCTTTTTCACGGGGAGCGAGCTTCCAAATTTACCCTCCCGCTGTGCTCGCTCCCCGTGCCTTAAAAAGCGCGTGCACGGCTGAAGGTCACTTAAACACAAAAGGCTTTCAGCGCTGCGGTCCAATATAGCGCATGCGCGCTGCCGGAGGACTGCTTCACAGACCGCAATATGGCGAGAATGCCTGCCAGCGGAGACACAGAGCAGGAGCAGATAAGCTGCCCCGAGAGGAGCAGGGAGGAGGATGATGAGGAGGAAGATGAAGATGAGATCCAGGAGGTCCAGATCACCGGGGAGGAAGAGGACGAGGGGTCCGATCGAGATGGTGTGGAGCTTGAGTGGGAGTCAGGGGGTACAGTGCTGGACTCCAGCGGTTCTGCCGCGGAGATAAAAGCGGTCGTTATGCGGAGTATGGACCGGGGAGAGGAGGAGGGAGAGGCGGACCCCTTCAACAGCGGCATACCCGCTGGGCTGGAATCTCAACTGGAGGGAGACGTTCAGCGGTCAGAGCGGAATAGGCTGAGCGAGAACACCCGCCTGGCCACCCGGTATGCGGTGAGAATCTTCAGGGAGTACCTCAGCGAGAAAGCCCAAAGTCCAGACTTTGAAACTCTGGACAAGGAGGCGCTTTGCGTTGTGCTGCGCTCCTTTTACGCAGAGGCGCGCTCCAAAAGTGGACAGTTGTACAGCAAGTCGTCCCTCATCAGCATCCGGAGCTCACTCAATCGGTACCTTAACGAGCCGCCCTACTGTCGAACATTGGACCTCACTAAGGACCCTGAACTTCGCAGCGCCAACTTGACCCTGGCCGCGGTCATACGGAGGCTGGAAGAGCAAGGCGCTGGTCCCGTGGTGCAGAAACAAGCCATCACGCGCTCGGACCTTCGGAAACTGTACGAATCATCAGTGTTCAATTCCGACACGCCGTTCGGGTTGCTCAACAAAGTGTGGTTCGAGACCTGCATGTATTTCTGCACCAGGGGCCGGGAGAACCAGCGGGAGTTGGAGGAGGACTCGTTCGGTCTGGCTGTGGATGAAGACGGAAGAAAGTTTGTCTATTTTAAAGCTCTCGGACCGTACCATAAGTCCCGCTCAGCCGCCTGGACCAAGAAGCGTCCGGACGCAGAGGAGGACACCTTGCCGCGGATGTACGAGACGGGCTCGGAACAGTGTCCATACGCCAGCTTCGTACGATACGTTTCTAAAAGGAACCCGCTCTGCAGGGCGTTCTTTCAGCGACCACGGGACCACTGCTGCGCGAGTGACATGACGTGGTACGAGAACAAAGCTATCGGTAAGAACCTGTTGGGCACGAGGATGCAGATGTTGTCGCGCGCTGCCAAGCTCTCCAAGACCTACACCAACCACTGCATCGGCGCCGTCTCCATAGCAACGCTCAACAGCATCGTGGGCGCCGCGGGCTCCAGGCCGCCGACGACGCTTTACGTTGCCTCGGAAACGGTCAACGGTCACGCGCAGTCCCACCTCCAGCTCGTGATCCCATACCGGATAACAGGCGCTGCAGATCTGATGCCGCAGCGGACAACAGCAGCAACAGTAAACACACCATCAACAACAACGTGTAGGGTCAGCGCCGAGGAGGACCCGGAGGCTCCCTACGCCAAGAGGCTGTGCGTGCGCCCTGGGACACGCGCGGAGTTGCCTGTGGAGCGGAACGAGAGCGAGACAGTGCCCACCAGAGCCACCGAGTCCCATATACATACACAGCCCGTGGTGCGGTCCCCGGTCGCTGTGCCTACACAGGTAATAGAGAACGTGTGATTGTTATCTACTGTAGCCTGTGTTCAGATCGTAAAATTTGGCAAAATATAGCCTCTCCGTGCATCAGCACTGCGTGTGAGTCCTGTATGAGTATTGTGCAGTCCGTTCTAACAAACCGAGCTCTCAGAAAAGTTATAAAGATGTCCAGTTTATACCAGGCGCTGACTATTTTTGAAATGTTCCAGTTAGTTATATGCTATATTTGATATACAAAAACCATAAATACAACAAACCCATCAGTAAAAACATTATAAGATAATGTAACAACACAGATTCTTATCATTTAGTAGAGGCTTGCTGGTGCTTTAGTAGCCAACGCATGCTTGTAACGTGACTAAAATTATTTTATCAGTTTTCACAGAGAGTGAGCTCAGTTCAGTGAAGTCATGTCCATTTTTCTCACAGATATCATGTCTAGGATGGTACACAAGTATGTGTTTTTCACTTAGTATGCCAGTCTTACAGCAACACACAAGTTGTTCTGGTGGTGTACGGCACCAGCTGCCCATTTCCAATAGCAGTCTGCGAGAAGACAACTGTAACCATGTAAAGGTTATTCTCAAAAGGTCTTAAATATACAGTGTATTTCTGGTTTAAGATGGACAGACAGCTATATCTGGATTAATGGCTTGGTAATTCTTGTATCTTGTATCTCTTCAGATTGTAATTTCTCAATCACCTCTCTACAGTCACTTTCAGTAGGTTTGTTTCTTCACACATTTAAACATGCTGCAAGATTTGAAAATCCCTTATTTTAGAGACATCTGGTGAAACCAATTTTGACAGGGAATGTTTTCCAAGATGTTACAATCACTTAAACATTTTACAGAGGCACAGATATTTAAAGCTGCACTGTTAGATATTTTTATATTAACAGTGGATCAGCTGACTATGTAAGAGATGTGACTCTTAGTGACAAACCCATGGAGATTTTTAATGCAACTTTGCAGTCCCCCTCATTTTTATGGCGTTAGTGTTTTTGGTTCAGTCTCACAGCTGTCATCAACCTGATGTCCAGCAGCAGCAGGCAGCTGTTGTTAGTGAAAAGCTCTAAAAAGCCACTTGAACACTAGCTGCTCAGCAGCAACAGCAGCAAACAGCTGACAGACACAGTTAGAGAATAGCTGGTGAACAGTGGACATTCATCAGGTGACAGAAACACAACTCCATATGAATCAATCAACCAATCAATCAATTTTATTTATAAAGCCCAATATCACAAATAACAATTTGCCTCAGAGGGCTTTACAGCATATGACATCCCTCTGTCATTTGGACCCTCACAGTGGATAAGGAAAAACTCCCCCCAAAAAAACCTTTAATGGGAGAAAAAATGGTAGAAACCTCAGGAGGAGTAACTGAGGAGGGATCTCTCCTCCAGGACGGACAAATGTATAATAGATGTCATACAGAACAGATCAACATGATAAATTATCAGTAATCCATATGACAAAATGATGCATAAAGAGAGAGAGAGGGAGAGAGAGAGAGAGAGAGAGAGAGAGAGAGATGCAGGACAGACAGTATTGATAATAGCTTACAACATTAATTTAAGTAATGATATTACAATAATGATTACGGCTATTGTGATACAATATGTTGTAGGTATATATTAATATATGATAGTATATATATGTGACAATAATCATATGTGTATAATGACAGTAGAATTATGACTAATGATAACAGCAGCAGTACTACAGGAGGTCCCCCGGCAGACTAGGCCTATGTCAACCTCACTAGGGGCTGGTCCAAGGCAAGCCTGAGCCAGCCCTAACTATAAGCTTTATCAAAAAGGAAAGTCTTCAGTCTAGTCTTAAATGTGGAGAGGGTGTCTGCCTCCCGGACCAAAACAGGAAGATGATTCCACAGAAGAGTTGCTTGATAGCTGAAGGCTCTGGCTCCTGTTCTACTTTTGGAGACTTTAGGGACCATGAGTTACCCTGCATTCTCAGAGTGCAGTGTTCTGGGATAATAGGGCACTATGAGCTCTCTAAGATATGACAGAGCCTGACCATTCAGGGCTTTGTAAGTTGTTAGTTCGTGGACGGCACCAATCTCATAGCCACTCATGAGGATTTTCCAACCCTGATTGAATGGAGTATTGGATTAAACATTGACGTGCTGACGTATTGCTGACGTGTTGCAGTAAGCGAGTTGTGTCATTTCCGGCGTTTCTGTGACAGCGTCTCTGTACTGCTCTTGTGAATTCTGCTAGCCTGCTTTCTCACCTCAGTTGCTTTAATGCTGCTTTAACGTCTACTTCAAGTCATAACCCACACTGGTTCTGTTTAAGCACTTATAGCTCTCCTTCTTTCTACGACTTTCTCGCTAATCTCTTAGCTGTTGTTTGCACGCTCTTAGCCTTGTTAGCTACTTTAGCTTAGCCATGGCTTCTCCTTCTCCTGCTCTTTCTTGCCCGGTGTGCCAAATGTTCAGTTATGCCTCTGCCTCCTTTAGCGACAGTGGTAATTGTAATAAGTGTAGCTTATTTGCTGCGTTGGAGGCGAGGCTTAGTGAATTAGAAGCGCGGCTCCGCACCATGGAAAACCATTCA